TTGTCATATTGGCAGTTTGAATCTGACCAAGCCCAAATGGAAAGCTCTCAGGGGAATAATCCAAAGATGCATTTCCATATATATTAATAAGCTGTGTGCAGCATTTTCTGCCTCACATGTAATAGAATTTTGAAATGAGCTAGGGCTTATCATCTGAACAGTCAAGACCACAGACTCCTTTCTGTCCAAAGTAACGAAATGAGATCATCTACACCATCGTTTCTATTAGCTGTCTTGATTTTTCTTTACAGGAAAGTGCACATAAATCTTACTCTGTCTCCATTGCTACAGGCTAGGACCAGTGGTGCTTACTATGTAGAACTGGGAAGATCAGTTAAATTCTTTACATCATGGTGCAGAAACTAATTAATGCTACAAAAAGGAAAGGAAATTACACTTCTGAGGACTCAAGTTTGATGTTTAGTGATAATCTCTAGGAAACAATGTAACAATCATGGATTAAAAACAATCAGCTAATAGTAAACTGAAAAATAAACTGCATGTATTTGTATTTTATAAAATCTGGAAATCTATAGAAATTGTGATGAGAACTAGTTATTATTATTTTTTATTTTTTCATATAAGTTCTTCAAACCAATATGTATTATGGAGATAGAAAATGCACTATAGTACATTCTGATGCCTTCTGAATGTGTCAGACCACAAATCTCATTATCGTCACTCAGTATGACATCACTCACATTTAAAAGACACCAAGATGGGGATAACTGCACTATAGTTTTACAGAAGCCAAGGAATGCCATGTAATCCAAAAACCTTGCTTGGATCCACATGGAGTCATACTGCATATAGACTCATTGAAACCTACAGGATTAAGCTGATTGTGATTAACTCTACATATCACAAAATCTGAATGCAGTCCCCTGTCTCTGGCTAGTGGCTAGATGCCCCATGGGAAGATTTCAAAGATAAAACAAAAGAATAAGGAAATATATTTTCAGAAATCACATGAACTACTGCATGCAGAACTTGATCTTTAAGAAGTTTATCTTTATTTTGCTTCCATTAATTGCAAAATGAATTTTAAAGGTTTCTCAGACTTTGAGAACATTGGCAAAAGTTAAAATTCCATAAATGTACTTCTACAGTGACAACACAGTAACCCATAGTAACTCAACTAAGGAGCTGAATAAGGGTTGTTAAACCATGGGTTGTTGAAATGTGGGAATATTGTACTGTCTGAAACCAGCCACACTAACAAATCATGATTTGTTAACCACAATGATTTGTTGTTATATTTTGAATCATAGGTTGCTTATATTTAACAACCCATAGTTTCCTAGCACAGTTGGATTCAGACAACATGATAACCCATAGGTCAACAACAACCCATGGTTCAAAGGCAACTTATGCTCATCCCATACTCAGCTGCTCACTGTGGGTTATGTTGTTTGAACCCAGCTGTTACATTGTATTCTGGACATAGTTCAGTCACAATTCTCATTAATGATACAAAGCTTTTTGTGATGCTGTAACTACCATTATGGATTATCTGAAGAACAAGTTTAGAAAGACTAAATGAAGTACATGTATCCACAGTTTAGCTACACACATACAAAGATTCAAAGTGGAACAAGCATGGAAGGGAGAAATGGTATACCAAGTGCAGACAATGTTTGCAGAAACTTATTTCCTGTCTCTATTTTCTTGGTGCCTTTGCCCAGATTTTGTTAGATTTGCCAGAATGAATCAGAAACAGAGTTAGAGCAGGACAAACAACGTTCTGAGCAGTGAGTTGCTGTCCCAGACCCTTCTCTAAAACAGAGGTTACTTGCTGGTCAACAGGGTGAATAGGGACACAAGCACTTTTACCACCAATGAGAGATGCTTTGCATTTCTACTTAAATATATTTATTATATTTATATAATATATTTATTATATTTCTTATTTTAAAATGTTTGAATAGATATGCATATGCAAGTGTTACGTAAACTGCTGTCATGTTCTGTTCTTTCTGGTGATCTATAAGTAGCTGCTGTATTGGATTCAAGTGGTAGATGAATGAGTAATCAGCCATTTTTCCAGGAGTAACATCCCTGAAGATCCGACTCCATGATTCCAAACTTGTGTGGCATATACATATGCTGGCTTGTGGATTTGGGCACTACTGCCCCCTTGTGCCTGCAAGGTTTTATAGAATTAGGTTGATTCTGGGAATGTAGGGTAGAAAACTATGTTATTAGAAATGCTTCTGGCAATATGAGAATTATCTTTAAGGGTGTGACTATGCTTCATTTAAGTTTGAAATACTACTGCTAGCATATTCTCATTAGTATCCTCTACTAGAAGAGTCAGATTTTATCAGTAATTATGAACATACTTTCAACACTGTCTACACATCACAAAATCCTTACACTTGATCTTTTCTTGTTCCTTCAAGTTTCAGTTTTCTTCAAATTTCTTGGCTGCAGTCTCCCTTTGAATGATGAGTGAGCCAGGGTATATGAAATCTTTCTCAATTTTGATTTGAATTAATACAAATGGAGCAAGGAATAAAAGGAACACATGGTTACAGTCTATTACTGACACCCCACCCCACACCAAGGAAAACATGACAAGGAAACATGTGAAAAGCAAATTGCCCGTGTCATTATGGGAGACTTCAAGCTCCAAATCATGTGAAGTACTAGTTCCCTTTTACTCAGCACTGGCTAGATTTCATCCCGAGTATGGTGTACAGTTCTGGGCACCACAGTTTAAGAAAAAGTCATGGTGGCTTTTTGCCAGTGCTATGGTAGCATCTGCATATCTTAAATTAGTAATATTTCATCCATCAATTTTCACTCTTTCCTCTGATTCTAATCCCACTTACTTTACCTTGCATCCCAGTCACCTACAATTAGCAGCATACCTTGTTCTGGTATGTTACCAATTTCTTCTTGGACACCTGCATGAAAGTTTTCCATTTCTTTTTCTTCAATATCTGTTGTTGGAGCATAGACTTGAATTATGGTTATGTTGATAGGTTTTCCATTGATTCTGATTGATATTATTTGAATTTTGAATTTTAACCTCATACTGCCAAAGCTACATCTTGCCGCTGTATTAGAATGATTCAATTTCTTCTCAGTTTTTCATTTCTAGAGTAATATACTTTGTGTTTGTCTGATTGGAAATGTCCCATTCCAGTCCACTTTAGTTCACTCACACCAAGTATTGCAATGTTCATTCTTTCCATTTCTTGATTTTTGATTTCCAGGTTGCCTTGTTTCACATTTCTTGTGTTCCATGTTCCAATTATATGTGTTGTGTACCATTGGACTTTCCTTTCACCTCTGCCAACAGACTTCCTTTCAGTTTTGAGCTAGTAGCATCATTAGCAACAGCACTCCTAGTATTTGTCCTTTACCCTTCTCCAGTGCCTTCCAACTTGGGGGTGCCTTCCAACTTAGAGGACTCATCTTCTGGCACTGTTCTTGCCTCCTTGACAGCATTGCTTTCAGCTTCTTTGACACTGTTCAACCCCCCTCACCATGTTAAGATGTGCATCCAAGAGGAATAGCTTATTAAATACGTGTTTAGAAAAGCAAGCAAAGAACCAGGCTTCTGACTCTAGTATATAATTTTCCCCGATGACCCAATAGAAGGTAGAAATAGATTTTATTTTTGAATGCATTACAGTTTCATTGTTGACTTGACTGAACAGTTATCTCTAAAAGTATATTAGAATTCCAGAACTAAAAAAGAACTTTTATTTGTTTTATCCCTCCTACAGTACTGTGGTAATGTAGCACTGGTGGTATTATGGGAAAAGGCTCATTTATTACAAATGAATTTGTCCCATTTTATAATTGCTTCATTTTATGAAGAATGTTAAGCAATATAGGTGACAGTAATGGAAATATGTAAACCAGAATGAAATTGAGCTTGATTCACTAATCTTACCCCAGATCCAAACCCTGGCATTTCCAGACAAAAGGATTAGGTAGCAGCAATAGAAAAGACATTTACTTGAGGTTTCAGGTACATTCCAATCAAGATGCCCATGCCCAAACTCAGAAGGTTTCCCACTCTTCCCACTTTTTGTTTAACTAGATAGACACATTTGTGAAGGTGGAGTCAGGAACACCCAATGACCTTTAGATGTTATTTACTAGAGACTAGTGACTTGTATCTCAGTGGGACTCCTCATCCATTACAGTTTTCATTCTGCGATTTATAGGAGCTGTGCATGATGAAGTTTGGCTGGTTGGGGCATGCAGGATGTTGTAAGGCTTTTTTCATGTCTAAACAGTCATAGGATTGCACTCTGAGTGGCCTATTACCTTAGGCTAGGGTGGGCCATTTGTGAACTTTCAGGGATTTTGGCCTCCAACTTCCATCAACTCTGACCATTGGGCATGCTTGCTGGAACAGATGAACTTTGTAGATAAAGCATGTGGAGTTCCACAGGCTGCCCAATTTTCTTTTATGCAAATAGACTTCATTTTCCACTATAGGTAGATACATGTTTGGTGTGGCACTAAAGTGTCCAATAGAGCCCTGAAGTGGGCAGAAACATATTCCATTCTTGATGATGAATGTCCAATTCCTTGGCTTGATCTTGAATATATTGAATCTTTCCGATTTCCACTGCAACTGATGGATAAGCACATGCGTGCACGCACACACACACACACACACACACACACACACAAGGTTGGAATCTGCTGCTGTTAGAAAACATCTACTGAATTATTCAGAATTACTTCTGGAACAGCCCCAAAATCCCTTTGTAAAAGGTTTTAAAATAATAAAACTGGAAAATTAAAATCAGAGTGAAAAGAATATTAACACAGAAAAAGCTTTATTTTCCCCTGAAATAAACACATGTTATTAATAGCTCAAAACTACATAATGGCAATCCTGAATGTGAGGCCATATTAGAGGCAAATTGATTCTGTAATTAAGCAGTGAATCACTTTTTTGTTGCAATTGAAGATACTCTATCATCTTCAACTTTATCTTCTCTATTTCTCTGCATTTACTTTATTTACAGCTTAGGTGGTGAAGTAGTGAGAGGAAATGAAGGGAGCTACGTGGGCAAGCATTTCCGCATGGGATTTATGACAATGCCTGCACCTCAGGACAGACTGCCGCATCCTTGTTCCAGTGGTTTTACTGTGAGATCCCAGTCGCTTCATTCAGTTGGAGGAACTGATGATGAAAGCAGTAGCTGCTCTCGCAAGCAACCACCACCGAAACCTAAACGAGACCCCAATACCAAACTAAGTACTTCCTCTGAAACTGTAAATGCTGGAACAACAAGTAAGAGTGGAAAGCTACCTGACAGGACTGAAGGTAAATGATAACTCCTGTTTACTCATGGAGATTGTAATGAATGGTCATGTTGTGGCAGTGCTTTCATCTAGCGGTGAGAAGGTTGCTGTTGTGCTGGAAGAGAATACTGGGATGGCTCCCCAAACATTTTGCATCAGTGGACACATTTGCATAGGGTTTTGAGGAAGGATCTGATGCACATGAGAGAGTAGTACATAAATGTGCTAAGAAGGCTTTCCAAGCTTGAAGGCCAGAAAATGATAAATATGAAAGAACACTTTAAATGGGATGGGATTTGGAGACGTCTGAAAGTAGAAGAGGTAGAGGAGCAGAGAATGGAGATATATTGAGAAATGGACACATTGAGATTATGGGCCCTTTGGAATTTTGCTTAGGTTGCATTTTTAAGCAGCATGACCTGATTTACACTTTCTGCTCTATTATGTGCATCTGAAGCGTGAGTGTGTAACAGCCATAAGGTTTGGATACAGCCCCTGATTCAACCTGATTTGTTTCAAACCAATGCAGAACCGCCCACCCCCAGTTTTACTTGAGGGCTAAATCTGGAATACAATCTGGCATCCAAACCTTCATGTTTACCATTGACTAATATTGGATATAAACTGGTAACTATCACTTTTTTCTGTTTGACAGAACTTACTTTATTGCAGACTGTATAGCCCCTTCTGAGGAGTCAAAGCCTGCTAAATTTGTACAAATTGGTACAAATACCTTTTGTGGTAGACATGCTTAACATTTTCATACTGACTTTTTTGAACATGCTTACAGTCTTAGAAAGTCCCCACAGTTGTAAGCTCTGGGTTATCAGGACTTCCAACTGCAGTAACTCTCTACATGGATTCAGCTTAGAGAATCTTCCTCAGAGTTCATGGACAATGCATGAAAGTCTAATTGGGTACTGGAGGATGCTAAAGGTGGGGCTTATGTGTGCTTCCAGATTCCTTCTCCACACTTTTGCCCTGCATACAAGCAAGTATATGTCTCTACAGAGCTGCTGTTTTGCCTCTGTCCCTCCAAACCACTAGAGAAGTTTCAGCAGATTCCAGATGCAGATTCAGAGTGATGCCTTGTTCCAAATCAGTCTGATTCAGTGCTGGTTTTAGGATTCAGATGAATACAATGAACCGTCTTACTCTTTAGTTTTCACGTTTCTGTAAATTTTGCAATAGAGTTCTTGGTTCAAGATACATGCCAAAATACGTATAAATTACATAAGATTGAAAGGATATGTTTTAGTTAACAAATGTGCTTTAGTTCTTGGGCAGTAAAGCAATTCAATATATACGTACTAAATAAACAAATATGTACAAAGATGCATATTTTGTGAAGAAAATATTAAAACAATCTATTCTTGCATATGTGTTAAGACTGAACTTGCTACCTGATGCAGAAAAACAATAGAATGGAGCAAATACAAACAAAACTCTTACAGACTAGAGACAGACTCACCTGTCCATTGCATGGGAGCCCTAAAAGGTGAAAATGAGTACTAAAGTGTGAGCAGCAGGACTTCTATTCATAGAAAGAGGTTTCTACTCAGAGAACAACCCCTTGTATAAGCAGAACTCTTGCTGAGTGAAAGCTCCTGCCTTTTATGGACTGAAGACTTTCATTCCAGCCGCCAAAGAGTTTGTGTTAGATATGGAAAGCCATGAAAAGCAAGTATGAGAATCTGAGCAGAAGTATTGTATAATACATATTATATAAGTTAATATTGTTCTTGAGTTATTCGTAGTCCTTGCAGGGGACTTGGAGAGTTAGGGATACTGTCTAAAGAATCTTTTGTTCAAATAAGAGAGATTCCTTACTCATGCCATTTAAAAGCAAACAAAATAAAATCATAATGCTGGTGAATTATGTTTACTCTTCTGTCCTGAAGTGTTCTCTATATTCTGACTCCAAAAGTGAGTATTTCTATTACTCATACCCACCCATGGCATATTATTCATACCAGTTTTACCCACCCTTGGCAAAAGCTAAATAGAATTCTATGCCTAAAAATGAACAGTTACTCAAATTTCAACAAGCAGAAGTTACTGCAAGGTTCCATTTTTTAATGCAAATATTGAATTTGCATTTATTTCAGTACTTGTTACTTTATTAATAGTGAGTAAGAATCACTCTAAACTAAACACAGAATGAATCAATTAAAATATCACTTGGACTGTTCTGATTTTGTAGTTGCCATATAGTCACTATACTACTGCCAAACTTGATCCTACATGACTTTATATATGTTTAAAGTTTGTAACAAATAGGTTGACCTTTAAGGTTTCTTAAAACAGTAGTCCACGACAGTAACAATGCTAACTCTACTATAATAGTAGCAATATAACATTGTACGTAGCAGTGTTAACTATGCCAGGGAGAAACAGTTCCTTTGAAAAAAAATCTTAACTATTTTGTTAATAATGGTTAATCATTAAGTATTTGTATACAATACAAAAATACAGCAACAATGAAAGAAGAAAAAACTCACGATACAAATAAATTTAATTATTCAAATCAATTAGAACAATTAGTAATTAGATTGTATAATACTGAGCACAAAAGAAGCCCCCCACCCCCTGGGACCTTCACTTACATGATGATTAAACTGCAGTTTCAGAACCTGATACTCACAGTCACATATGCTTAACCCACAGAGAAGACAGAGTTTACTATTCAGGCCTTAACTTTTGATTTTCTTATCAGTTTTCCCCTAGTATCTTTATATTACTGGATCAACCACCAGACTTCCTTTCTCATCAGTTACTACAGACAAACTAACCCCAATTTTACCTTCACTGTCATTTTCCAACTGCTCTTTTCCACCTAACCAGAATCTCCAGTCGATCAGAATATTAACCTGACTTGGGCCCCATCTAACCAAACTGATTGTCTCCTTTTTCCTTTAGAACATCACTAAGCACCTGCTACATTAGTGGTTGACAGTAATAAAGAGAGGCTACATACTCAGATTCACAAGATGCCATGTAAATTGAACATTACATAACACCAATAATTTTATACAGGGCATTTCTTCTCCCTCCCTCCCTCCCTCCCTCTCTCACACACACACACCCACCTTGTAGAAATAAGCACAACAATAGGTTCTACATCAGAATTCCCAGAATTGGATGTGTGCCAAGGGAGATCAAAGATCAAGGGTCATGGTAGATTCCTGCTAGAGCGTGTAAGGGCATTGAGCGGTACAGTTCTTCCATTTCAGGACCTCTTCAATCCATGCTATCAGGTAGACAAAGTCTATGATGCAGGATAGCAATAAGCAGGTGGTAGACCTGAGCAGTAGAAATGTTCCCCCTTAGTGCCTCTACTACACTAGATCTCTGGTAGGCTAAAAACCTAGGTGTCAGGATGATCCCAGTCAATAAGGTTTAAGTCTACACAGGAAACTAATCTATGGATTAGAGCTGATGGTTCCAGTTTTATGCTCCATGGCAGATTCTCAACAATACAAGTTTCAACAGACAAGGGTCCAGTTTTGATGAAGAGTCCAAGTGAGGCGTGATTTGGATAGCTCAAGTGGTGGTAAATCCAAGCAACAACGATTCCAGGCAGTGAAGACAAAATGTTCCCAGCAAAGGCCCTGGGACCTCAGCACTGGTTTAAATCCAAGTACATGGCAACAAAAGCCCTACTTATAATCTAAGTGACAGACACTCTAACTCCTAAGCTAGAATTATGCCTAACAGAGCATACCAGTTCTGCCCTTTTTAGACAACCTCAATTACCAAGGAAACAGGTTTGGAACCCTTCTTTCTTCATCCAAGTCTTTCCTCTACATTCTTCCTATCTGCTATATCTTGCAGATAAGCTGTCATCCTCCTGAGCTGCAGGGATTTTGTTCAAAGTCAAACTCTGCAGCTGGTCAGGAGTGTTCAACTCCCCACTGAAAAACCAGGAAGAGTTAAGCTCCCTGGATTTTGATCTTCCACAGCCTTAGCAGGCCCCAATTCAAACCTTTCCCTCAGTTTGTAATCAGATGGGAACATAAGAAGAAAGGCTAAGCTTCCATGGCTTCCAAATGCCCTTTCATGGCCTTTAATTGAGGTCTGGGTTCCCAATTAACTGTTCTGATCCTGAATCAGAACTGTCACTGGTACTGCAGCTAATCTTAACACCTATGAAGGATTGACATCACATGATCGTATTAGCCACCCTAACCTATTTTACAGAATTGTTCTGAGAATAAAATGCTGTTGCTGCTGCTGTTGGTGGTGGTAGAAGCATGTTTGTCTACCTGAGCCCATTGGAGGAAGGGCGTTAATAAATGTCATAAATAATAATGCAAAAATTTGGGGATCTTTTCAATCCGATTTTGGGCAAATGGTTTTGTTTGTAAGAACTCTGATTTTGTTGATATGACTGTCTTTCATTGCTAACAGAGATGGATCAATGTATACTTTCAACAATGCATCCACATGCACCTGAATTTTGTTATAGCATAATCAACCGTCTTATCCTTAGGGTGGCTCATTGACATGGATGAGATGTGAACATGAGCATAACTCTTACTCAGCTCTCATTTATTCTAATGAGGCTTAGCTTATGCTGAAAAACCACTTGGTAGGTTTACTTTGTGTGCAATCTCCAGTGAGCTTTCTGCATGGAAGAAGTACCGCTTGCTGCTCTATAATTCTTGCTCAGACAAAAGAATTTCTCCTACACTGTAATCTTTCTAAGTGGCTGACTTATTGAGGGCATTTACCTTTTAGGAGAGGCAATTACTGTACCAGTAATTGCTGTTTTTCAGAAGCAACACCTTTTTCTATCAAATCACTGCTACGAACCCATCCAGGATGCCAAACACCCATTGTGAGCTTACACTTTTGCCACAGCACTGAAATGTGAATTAGACTGAAACAGATTTTGCGCTGTTAGTACTTTGAGGACAATTTCCTATTCTGCTTATGTCAATGTATGTATACAAAGACTAGTGTTTGGAGGACTTGCAGTACAAGGCAAGTGAAGGTTCTTAGATCTTTCTATTTTGGTAT